CTTCTGGAAGAAAATATAGGCAGTACACTCTTTGACATCAGCCTTAAAAGGATCTTTACAAATACGATGTCTACTCAGACAAGGGATACAAAAGGAAAAATAAACAAGTGGGATTTCATCAGACTAAAGAGCTTCTGGAAGGCAAAGGAAACCAGGATCAAAATGAAAAAAAAAACCACCAACTGGGAGAAAATATTTACAAATCATATATCCAATAAGGGGTTAATCTCCATAATATATAAAGAGCTCACACAACTGAACTTCAAAAAAATAACCTAATGAAAAAGTGGGCAGAAGATATGAACAGATATTTTTCCAAATAAGATATACAGATGGCCAAGAGGTACATGAAAAGATGCTCGAGATCACTAATCATCAGGAAGATGCAAATCAAAACTACACTTAGATATCATCTTATGCCCGTTAGAATGGCTATAATCACCATGACAAAAATAGTAAACGTTGGAGAGGTTGTGGAGAGAAGGGAACCCTCATGCACTGTTGGTGGGAATGCAACCTGGTGCAGCCACTTTGGAAAACAGTATGGAGATTTCTCAAAAAACTTAAAATAGAATTACCATATCACCCAGCTATCCTGCTACTGGGTATTTATCCAAATCAACAATACAAAGAGACTTATGCACCCCTATGTTCATTGCAGCATTATTCACAATAGCCAAGACATGGAAGCAACCCAAGTGCCCAACAACTGATGACTGGATAAGGAAGATGTGGTATATATATACAATGGAATACTACTCACCATAAAAAAAGACATAATCGTCCCATTCACAACTACATGGATGGTCCTTGAGGGCATGATGTTAAGCGAAATAAGACAGACAGAGAAAGACTAATACTATATGATTTCACTCAAATGTGGACTATAAACAAACTTACAGAAAAAGAGAACAATTTAGTGGTTACCAGGGGGAAAGGAGGCAGGGTGGGCACAAGGGGTGCAGGGGCACATTTATATAGTGTTTGACAAATATTAATGTACAACTGAAATTTCAGAATGTTATAAACTATTTAGACTGCAATAAAAAATTTTTAAAACAAAACATTAATTAAAAAATCTTCATTTTAGAAATAAAAGAAGAACACTAGGGAAAAAGTATATATATATATATTGTCCCTGACTACAACCATGATAATGGCAATAAAGGACAGCCTATAAGAGGGAAAACTGGCAGAATTAAGGAAGTCATGAAAGGCCTCCCTGAGCAAGTTTTAACTAAGCTAAGAACTGAAGTAAAAGAAATTATTAACTAGATAAGAAGGAAGAGATGAGCCTTCCAGGTAGAAGAAATAGCATATTTTAAAGCCCTTTACAAGAGGAACAGAAAGAAGGCAAGTGTCTGGCTTGAAGAAAGTGAGGAGTTTGGTAGGAGATGAGGCTGGCGAGGCAGCTGGAATCCTGATAATGCAGAGGTTTTTAGGCCATGTTAAGGATTTTGGACTTTATCCAAAAAAGCAATGAGATCAGACAACCAAACATTTAGTGCATCACAATATGATGGAATGTGAAGTACTCATCATCACCTATGGAGTGTCCTTGCCAAAATAGTTGAATCTAAATCTAGTTAAGTCGTTAGAGCTAACTTCCATTTATAGGAAATATGGGAAATGGAAGAACAAGTTAAAAAACACCATAAGGAAGCAATGAGACAAATCTAGAATGTGGAACATTCTCACTAACCACCAAGCCAGTCCAACCAGTCAATGGCAAGAGAAAAAAAAGGAGACGGGAGGAGGCATTCTCTAGATGCAGAGATAAAATAACCAAATAGAATGCATGAACCTTGTTTAGATCCTAACTGGAACAACTCAACTGTAAAAAAGCATTTTTAAGCAATTGGTAAAGTTTGAATATGGACTGGATATTAGATATAAGGAATTATTGTTACTTATTTTAAAAAATAAGCTGTCTTCCCACTAAAGCTGTAATTTTTATAGCAGAGACCATACATAAAATAGGTATTCAGCATGTGTCGTTGATGCTGATGTTGAATCTTGGTATTTAAAATTTAGGTATAAGGTCAAAAAGTGCTGGAAAATTATTTGTACCTTTCTGGAATTACTGAATTTTTGAGTTGTAAATGACAAGAGGAATTATCTAGTCAAAATAAATTCATGAGGAAAAGGACACAAAGCTAGATGACAGTAGAGCTGGTCTAGAACGCAGGCTCCCAAGTCATGAAGCTCAAGTTACAGCTCTTTCGGTGCAGCTCACAGGGAGCTTCTTACCACTTCCAAGCCCTAGGTAGGTCACAACTCAACTCTTTCTTCTGCCCCCACTTGACTTTATATTCTTGCTCTTCCTCCCAACTCCACCTCCAGGCATTTTAATTTATATTCACTTGACAAGGTTTACTTTCCTTGGGAAAACTGTCAGAAGTAATGCTAACAAAGAAGGAATAATGAGGGAGGAAAAACATTTTAAAACGAAAGTAAAATTAACAGTAACAACAACAGCTGCAGTTCCAAGCTTTTTCCAGAGTTATGTTTCTACTCCCTCCTCCTGGCTTTCAAGGACACATTTTTTTCTAAGTTCTGTCAATGGACACATAATAGCTTTCTGTCAATCATACAAGTGTCAGAGAAAAAAGGTTTTAAGCCATTGGTACACAAAGAATCAATGCTGCTGAAATATTCTCTTTCTCTTCCTTTTTTCTATGCTTCAGCTTTTCTTTTCAAAAATCACAAGCCAAAAGTCAAAATATTATTCTTTATTATAAGCCTTTTGGCAATATATTGCTTTTTAAATTGTGCACATATATTACTTTAAAAAATATTACGTTTTGTAGCCACCCCTGACACAGGAAGGGTTGATAATCACTAGAAAAGGCTTGCCAACAAACTGTGACCCAGAGGTGAGAAGGCTGCTTAGCCAATGACCGGCAAGACCTCCAGAGGGAGGCAACCTAAGACAGGCATCGGTCGCCCGGGGGCACAGAAGGAGACACGATATCGGGAGCAGGAGGGGTTGCTGCCTAGGAGGCCTTGCATGCTCTGAGATAAAATATACGAGCACACCAATAACATGATAATATCAAAACAGAGGCCAAGAGAGGGCTCCTTGAGAAATCACTAAGAATTCTTGGCATTTGCTAATTACTTCATCCAGAACACCTGTGTATGTTTAACAGCTGTAAGCTATGTATATATTGAAACGCTGGTTATAATAAACTCAGAGAGGCCATCAGCCCTCTCAGCATCTATCCTGATGTGTACATTGGATTGCGACACCGACACGTTTCAGAAAACCGAATTATAATTATCTAATACTGTGTTTAACAATATACTGAAAAATTGAGAACTCAGTCAGTACTTTTTTGGATTTATAAGTAAGCCTAGCAATCTAATATTAGCATAGACAAATACCTTAATATAGGCAGTAAAGTATGTCAATATATCAAATACTCCAAAGAAGGATAATTATATAAATACAAATGGATAGATATGTGGGATTTAGTAAGTATAAACCAAGTAGAGGAACATGTGTTTCTGGAACCTATTACATAGTGTTACCGAACCTGAAGTGAGTTCGCTCACAGCAAGCCAATCTCTGACACCGGGTGTGGTGGAAGGAAGCAGGAATTTTATTTTTGCACAGCACTGAGCAAGGAGAGAGGGCAGCTAATGCTGAAATCCCAAACTCCCCGAAAAGCTAAAAAGAAGGGTTTTTATTTGGGGTTTTAGGTAGGGGAGGGGGAGTATATGGCCTTACTGGTCGGAGCTTTCCCACCAGCCTGTCTTTGGCCTTGAGACACTTGCAGAGAGGAGGGAGCTCATGACCCTGCTGGTCAGCAGCTTTCCCACCAGCCCGTATCTCTTTGCGGGAGGAGATGGTCCAGGTGCTTGTCCTTGACAGTGTCTGTCTCTGTGGAGGATAGTGGATTCTGGAGCCAGGAAGCCAGAGAGTAAGAAGGGAATGAGCATTTTGGTTTTAACCCCATATATGCTGGGTTTAATGTGGGGAAACTGATATCAGGGTCGGTATCAATAGAAATACCAGTTATCTTCTACTAAGTTCCTCCATTATGTTATATACTTATACTATATATACATATCACTAACTCTCACAACAAACCTTTAGGGGAGGTATTTCTGCCCATATTTTACAGAGAGTAAGAGGTAGGACCAGAATTTGAATACGAGGCTGTCTGATTCCAAGTTTATATTCTTTCCACTACAAAATAAAAAATATACATTCAATTTAAAATTAGGAGGGAAAAACTTATGCTCTTTACTTTTATTCTATCTAATAGCAGCTCATTTCTACCATGTTCCATGATCAAGGCTGACATTCGTCTGGTAGGTTTTGTTGTGGCATAAGGGCTGAAAGCTGTTCTGATTAGTTGAGTATCTGTTCTGTTTGCTTGGTGCCTGTGCCATACTGCTCATTAAATATTTTGAGTATCATACCTGTCCATGACACAGAACTCTGAGTTTTCAATCAAATACTTATTCAGACACTTGAAATCATCCAAAAGCATTTCTTATGACGTATTTTCCATGTCTACAGGTATACCAGCTCTTCTTCTATGCAAAATTTGGATGATCCTCTCTCTAGGTAAGAACATGCTAAGATTCCCAACTTTTAAAGCAGAAGCCTAACATTTGCCATTTTTATACAGGAAAGAATGGGACACATCTTTAACCCAGTAGTACAAAATTATATGCTCTAGGTTTTCACCAGTGAGTCCAACCTTCAAATGACATCTTGCCTTGTTAAAAATCAGGTTTGTAGCATTTGATATTTGGGAAATCAGTTTAACAGACAGAATACTATGCACACCTTCCTCAGTTCTTGCTATCAAATGAGATCACCAGAAAGGAAAATATCTAGACATTAGCTTATGTCCTTAGATAGAAATGCCTAAACTCAGTTTTATACAAAGTTATATTCTTGGATTTATCAAGATTCAATATAAGAAATGATCACATGGAAAAAAAGGAACCAATGGTATAAATGTTTCAAGGACAAATCTCAATGTCATCATAACAAAAGAAGCATGATTTATTTCTGAGATCTTCATACTCTAGATTTATTCATAAGTTGGTTATCCCAAAGTCAATTTGCCCAACCAACATACATAAAATGTTGTACAAGCTCCTTCAACTGGTAAAGATACAGAACTACCAAAAAACATGTTCCATTAAGTTGACTGTATCATCCTCTTCAGAAATTTCTGTAACTCCAGCCTGAGATCGAAGAATGGACATGATGTTATTAGATAATTTGTCAAAGCCATTCTGTAAACATACATTTGCCATTTCTTGCCACCTTTCTAGGGAGCAAAATGGATCATTTATCATAAGGTATTCGATGGCATCTGAGGGAAAAAATACAATATTATATTATGGCACTTATTTGATAATCCACACTTCAGACTTAGCAATTCTTTAAAAATAGAAAAGGATATCTTTTCAACTCAGTTACTATTAATCTGATTCTCATACCTGATTCCTATAAGTTTAATGTGGAGTGCTTAGTCCAGTTCATGGTAAGTACTCAAGTGTTTGTTCTTTCTCCTCCTCCTTTTTCATTAACCTTTTTATGCCTCAATTCACCTGCTACCATTTCTCACATTCCCCACCCCTCCATTCATCTCCTTCTTGGTAAGGTTAGCAGATGTTGCAGGCTACAGGGAGGGAGCTCATAAAGTGAAGAATGTGGGCTCAGGCTCATTCAGAGAGTCTATAAGGTACCACTAGAAACTATCAAATAACTGAGGGCTTATAGGTCTAGTTTTAGGTTTTAGGTCTTAGGTTTTAGGCTTATAGGTCATGATCCTTCAAACACTTTTATAAATGTCCTAGTAGTGCTAACCCAAAGGCTTAAAGACTCTTTGGCAAACCCTCCATCCTATCTCTAGAGACCTTTTAATGGTGGGACTTCCATAACAAATATTTTTCTAAAAGAAATAAAAGAAAGGTTTTGTTTATTAAAGAAAACTAATGGTATTATTTACTTCTGAAAATCAATTATAGTGACTCTCTTTGGTATATATCTATTTATAGAACTCATTTCTTACCCATTACCTGCAATATTTACAATACTTAATGGAAGATGGTTTCTTTTTAGAATACTGTCATCACTATTATTTTATTTCTACCATGATTATTATTTTTCTATCAAATAAAATATTTTAGTTGATATCTGTAGTGATAATTTCAAAATAACATTCCCAAATATGTTTTCATTTAAGTTATTATTCATTCTTTGACCATATAATAATTTAAAATCAAGTTGTCTGCTCAAGTTTCTATATTAAATTGGAGAAAAGAAAGGAAAAAGTGAGATCTAATTACTCTTCATCCTACTGCCAAGTTAAGTTCAGAGTAAATATCACATGTAAATGATATTTACATATGCATTTGGTTTAGGAATAAAAATTCCAGTTTATGTCTAAATAACATTTAAAATATATATTAAAAATTACTAAATATACAAATATGTTAAAAACAAAGTTTTTTGAATAGTGTTAGCTATTAAAATTATGACATTCCCCTCAAGTTTCATAAAGATTCTCTCTTCATTCTAATTCCCCCAAGAAATATATATTATCACCAACAGATTACTATTGACATGGTGATCTTTACATTTATAATTTCCTAAAGTTAACTCTCGCCAAGAAGGAACTCTTAGGTAGACCAAGTTAGCTCAAACATAGTAATCTTGAACCTTTCCCTAAATAACCCACTACTATTTCTTCTACAACATTTTACTCTGCTTACCTCTTCCACCTTTATTTACTTCTTGAAGTAGCTTAATGCCAACTTTTTTCATATCTGTAGAGAACAGATGAAGTATAGCAAGACCAAAGGATAAAGATGGTGGCTTCCCATTCCATTCTTTAGTGAGACACTGAATTAATTCAGTGTGGGGACATAACTTTATTAGCTTCATCAAGTCATCTGAAAGCAAAAATGAAAAACTATGTCTCAACATCCTAATATGATATATCAACTAGAAACTGGGACCAGCTAATGTCTATACCTGCCAATCAACACTTCTTTTTCCAATCCTTCCAAAGCCTTCAATGAACTCAATAGTACTATCCTCAATCAAAAAAAAAATCATGCTCAGCACAGCAAAAACAAAGGAAAATTGTTTATAACAAAGAGTACTAGAAAAAAATTTATCAAAGAAACTGTCATGTCAAAGAAAAGAAATGTGGTTAAACAAAAAGGATTAGACTGGCAATCAGGAAACCTATTTCTAATCATAGCTTCGTCAGTCACTTACTCTTTTGGATCTCAGTTTTTGCATCTTGAAAGTGCTAGAATTAGTATCTCCAATTTCTAAGGTTCCATCTAATACTGTGCTATGTTTGTCTATATCTTGTTGCTCATATTTGGGCCAACTGCTAGTGAATATGTCTTTCTTTCTTTGCCTTGCACAGAAAAAGGGGCTCAGTAATTTTTTTCCTAAAAATATCAAGTATTTAGAAACACAAAAAATGAAGATTTTAGGAAGCCATTAGCTAGTCTAAGTAGCTAGAGGTTGAGCCATATGAAGTTGCCTACATTTGACTATTTTTTACTCCAAAAAAGCAATTTCATATGGTTTAATCTACTAGTTAACCATTGAAGTAATCGAAAGCTATAATCACGATTTATATTACTAAATTTGTAAACTTTGTGTTAACTTCCTAAATTTTTTAAAGTAAAAATATTCCTCTTGGGCCACAACAGAGTTCATTTTCAGAATAATTTCTGAGTGGTAGTTCTTTCAAAAACTATCATAAACATAATTTATACTCTGAAAGGCAGTACAAGTTAATCTAGTGTTTATTAAATACATATTTACTGTACTGGGAACTTACGTACATTAAATCACTGCATTTAACATTCAGTATAAGTGAGATATTATTCTCATGTTACAAGTGAGGAAACAGGCTTAGGGAAGTTAATTTTCACAGAATTATACAAATGGTATAAAGTAGAACAGTTCATCTGACCCCCTGAGTTCATGACCTTACAATCTATAGAGCTGTTTCTCCAAAATAATAAATATGTATGTGTGCATTGTATGTGTGTATGTATATATATACACATGCATGCACATACATACATACAGAGAGAGAAACGGTAAAAGGGGAAACAAGGAAAAGCAAAATATAATTCTATATCACTGAAGTCAAACAATTAAAACAACTTTTTCCTAGAGAAGAGGTAGCAGTTTATAATTTGGGTCACTCAAACTGGCCTCCACTAAGGTGAAGCTATTTATATAGCACCTCCCAGCCCCCAACATTTCATAACTCACCCCTCTCTCTCTATTTCATTCAATCAGGTACTCAAATCCCCTATGGCATGAATTGACTAACTAACCAATATTTACTCAATTATGTGCAAGATATGGTCTCTGACTAATTAGAAAGGACACAAATTCAAATCCTATGACCTCCACCCTCTGCTTACAATCCATTTCTTTATTCCTTGCTCTGACATGTTATTAATCATTATTTATCTCATGTATGTTCTGTTTTAATAAGATTATAAGAGTCTATACACCAATTATGGTATCTGTTTAACTCACAAATATCTAAAACAGTGGTTCTCAAAGTATGGTCTAGGGTTTATAAAGTCAAAACTATTTTCATAAAATTACTAAGTGGTTATTTGCCTTTTTCATTCTCGTTCTCTCACAAATATACAGTGGTATTTTCCAGAGGCTACATGACATGAGATATTACAACACACTGAATATAGGGGCGGAAATGGGAAGCCGGCTATCTTCTCAGCATTAAAATGTCTATTAAAGCAGACATTATGGAGATTTGCAAAAATATAAAGCAATGCCACTCTTTTCAAGAAATTGTATGGTTTGGGAAAAGTTATTTTTCATAAAAAATATTTTATTTATCATGACATGTGATGTGTTTAATGTTATTTTGAATGAATAAATAAATATTTTTAAGTTTTCTGTTTTAACATCTAATAGGATAAATATCAATAGATATAACCCACATAGATAAACGCTCTTTGGGATCTTCAGTGCTTTTTAAAAGTGTAAAGGAGACTGAGACCAGAAAGTGTGAGAGCCTCAGATCTAGAATAATCCAGTTTCCAGATAAGTACATTCAATTGTTGGGGAAGGTGAACAAAGAAATCATTTTGGGCTTTATTCTAGAAATTATTAGGGGGGAAGAAAACAAAAAGAGTCATTAATTCTAAAGCAGATGCTCTATTAGTCAGATTTACACTTTTGGAACAAAAGACTTTTTTAGGACTTTTCTGTTTTGTGTTAATTCGTTTCTGGGTTTTTTAAATTTGTAAATATAAAGCTGATAGTCTAAATCTGAGCGAGAACATTCTTCTCTGGAGCCAGAAAGCATTAACTGAATCTGTCCACTGAGGCCAAAGATGACACCTTGGAAAGCTATGGCTGTTTCTCCTTAAAAAGTAAACTAAGCAAAGGAACTTTTCAAACATTGTTTCTATCTTCTAAGCTTAATTTTTATCAGGTTATTATTTTCATCTTATGATGTTCTGTTAAATAAATTCTGAGGGTAAACATCAAGGTTCTAACTATATAGGAGTGTTATTACTTCTTAAATTAATACAATATATATTTATTTTAGAGTGTAATGCACCCCTAGAGGAAAAGAATAATACGTTAATGAGTCAATCATATTTCAACGTACTTATGGGAGGGCAAATTTTGCAAACAAAAAACAAACTTCACATTTCATTTAATAAAAATTACGAGAGTAATTAAAAACTATATTCCATGATTAAACCCTGACTAACTAAAATAATTTTTACCTATGGAAAAATAATACTTAACACAGAAACTAAATCTGTATGCTTATATAATAATAATAATAAAATACATAATTCATTCAACAAATATTAATCGAATAGTACCTACTATGCCAGATTGTATTCTGTTACTGTGTGTGTATAGGCAAATTACTCACCTCTCTGTGCCTTAGCCTCTCTGTGGAAACATAATTTTTCATCTATAAAACAGGGATAATAAGAAAACCTACTTTATAGAGTTAATATAGGGATTAAGTGAGATAACGCATGTAAAAAGCCAAACTATTAGCTATTATTACACTAATAGTACCAGGCATGCTTACATAATAAATGACGAAATTAGTAACTTTAAAAAATAGATTCTGAGTACAAATCAACCTATTGTTTGAAAATGATTAGATTCAACAGCCATAAAAGATCCTTTTTCCTGGAAAAATGTAATCTAAAAGTGCTGTGTTTTGTTGCATTTTGAAACTTCTTAGAACCGAGGTACACGTCCTGTAAATGAGGACTGACATAGGCCTGGATATGGGAGGCCGTCAGGTCTGCCTGTGCATTGAGGTTACTGCTGAACCAGGTTCACAGTCAGAGCTCAAGTCATTCAGCTGGGGTCACCCTAAAGGCCACAGTTCTCTCAGATCAGAGCCCAGTGGCAACCTAGGCATTTCAAAATTTTGAAATCAACATTATTTCACAAATTCTCCCTTTCTAATGCTTATATCATAGTTTAGAAGATCATATATAAAAAATAAGTTCAGTTACTTTTTAAAAATCCTTTAAGTAGCATGGTCTAATACATTCGCAAAATTTATCTATAAAACTGTATATTTCAGGACTATCCAGTTATAAATGTTTATGTATTGAGGAAATATGTAATACATTTGAAAGTCTAGCATGAAAGTCAATCAGCTCCAGTTTAACTGTTTTCACTGAAAATTACAAAAGAAATCTACTTATCAGTATATGTAAAACGGACTTAATAATGTAAATCCAAAATATTGCCTACTATCATGGATGCTCTCACAATTAAAGTCCAGAAATGGAATGTATACACATAAGCAGACGTTTTTACTCACCAGAAGTAAAGTCCTTGAATTGTTGTATGTATTCCATGGCCCCATGAATCTGACCCTGTTTACACAGGCAAAGAAGAGCTTTCTTGTGCAGGCCACACTCACTGTAGATGATCTGAGCTAAAGCCAGGCACTTGGCCTTGTTATAAGTATCCTGTTCCCCATAATCACAAAGCACATCCCCAGCCTCCTCAGAAAACGTCAGCCTAGAGCAAGCAGATCAATAAGGCATACGTTACAGAGTTCTTGCTGGGGATGAGAATGAAGTGTTTGAAAATTCAGCACAGGAGAACTGGATTTTCTATGGTCTGTAAGAATTCCAAGTTAATAGGCAATTGATGTAGGAGAAATTAAACATATCTAAGATTTAACAATAAGAAGAACAAAAACAATCAGCACACACTCCTTAGTTTTTAAAAAATCTACAAACAAGGTTAAAACTTTCCTGAAAACACTGGTGGGATTTAAAATTACAAGGTAAACAAAAATTCTCTCATAATTAAGGGTCTCAATGTCATCAGTGGTTATCTGGATTCCAAACCCTGTAGAATGTAAGAACTTATTAAATGTTGGTTAAAGATAATGACACCAAATTATTAGCTCAAAATTAGGGACAAATCTTACAAGCATTTGTGCTGAAAGGAAAACAAAGAAAGTTATTTTTAAAATTGTTATAGATTTATAAGAAACAACAGGAAAAAAATAGACATAACTATGTCTATTAGGAGACACTGAAGAAGCAGTTCTTTTGAGACGGCTTAGTTGAAAGATTTCATTTGTCATCATATTTTGTGCTATCTTCATACACAATTGAAGTGGACCATCTGTACTATCACAGTATCTCTACCTAGGAAGCTATCAGCATAAGCCAAAAAATATTTGGGCATAATTAAAGATACCACTTCTAATTACTGGTTGTATGGAAATTGTGCTTTAGTTATATTTTTAATTAATAGCTACAGAATAATAGCAATCACATCATATTGGCATCTGTATACATGAAACGGATTGCCAATAATATTAAAATGAGATCCTGACGCTCTTATAAAATGTCTCTTTACTGAAAATTTAGTAAATAAAACCCTCCGTGTTTGTTAGAGTGGACAGCAGAGAGGTGGGTCTAAAATCATAAGGCAGCTTCTGAGTAAAAGTCAATTATTTAGTAAGCAATTCCCTGACTTTCATATTTTAATTCCAAAATATAGGTTTTGGTAGCTACGGCCATGTTTCCTGAGGCTGAAAAAGTAACTATTTTTGTTTTTGTAGTGACTGCATTATCAGAGCAACATAATAATACCAGTATTTTAGTATTTATTTCTCTTATTAACACCATTGTTTTAATTTTTTACGTGGTCACCATCATGATGCTGTTCCACCTGAGAGGAGGCCAGAGTTGAGGACTGAGGTTGCTCTCTCTTGGCTTGTCACTTTCCAAAAGGATGATCAGGAAAGAAGAGTATGATTAAGAAGAAAAATTACCCAAAGGGAGGAGGAAGGTCAAGCCCCAAAAGAATGGAATAGGCCTTGACAGAAAAAAGGGGAAAGAAAAAGAGGGATTCGAGCCCTGGGGGAAAGGGAGGTAGTCAAGCAGCCCAGACCAGGTGGAGAAATGAGCCTGGGAAACTCCCTCTGCTTTTTTCCCTCCAATCACCTCATCATAATCCTCTTTCTGTTTTGGGGGGTTTTCTTGTTTTGTTTTTGAGGTAGGTTAGCCCTGAGCTAACATCTGCTGCCAATCCTCCTCTTTTTGCTGAGGAAGACTAGCCCTGCGCTAACATCCATGCCCATCTTTCTCTACTTTATATGTGGGATGCCTGCCACAGCACAGCCTGACAAGGGGTGCCAGGTCTGTACCCGGGATCCAAACCGACAAATTCCAGGCCGCTGAAGGGGAACATGTGCATTTAACCACTGCGCCACCGGGCTGGCCCCTCTTCTGTTCTCCTAAAGCTCCCTTCTTGGCTCTCCCCACCTCTACTCCCAACTCTAAGACTCTTTGAGGGACTTCTAAAAGTGGATCTGAGACCAGACTGGCTCTGGAGAATGCAAACGACTAATAAAATAAAATATGTTTAACTCCATTAGTAAACTAAGGCATATTTGATTATAAACCAGATTGTAGATTTTTAAAAGTCAAAATGAAGGTAATATATAATCACTAAAATTATGCATATTTATGTACTGTCATTTTATAGGATTGGGTTTGTAAAGCTAATTTTCAGAAGATATTTTTCCTCTTCTAGGAAGGAGCAATGTCTGCAAGTTAGAGAGCTAATACCAGTAAAGCATCATTTCAGAAATGTTGGCTTTGTGGGTCAAGTGATTATACTCTTCCCAGGTAAGAATGATTAAGAGGGCCAAGGTTAGTCTATAACCGAGGCTGCTTTAGGGCTGACTCTGTGCTGAGCTTCAGAGAAAGAATTGGAGAACTTTTTGTTTAGGGGAACTTTTTAAGGTAGGTGGTAGAGGCCAGGTCATCAGAGTCAGAGATCAGGGGACAGAGGCTAAGAATAAAGAATGTGAATTGCCTTGAGTATTCTGTTATATCATCTCAGGATCCTTAAAGGTGGTGGTATGTTCCTAATTTATGCAGTCAAGGAACTGCATAAGAACTTAAATTCTTACAAATAAGAGGTAGAATGGGCCAAGAACCATCTCTATAGGCAAGGAAATTAATCTTGTCTGAAGCGTCTTTGCACTAGATAAGAGGTGTTAGTAGTGAACATGCACTTTGTGATGACGTCCTCACTTCTGAATCATTTCCGGTGCTCTCTGACAAGTGCTTTCTGTGGTGGGTGTAGAAGTGTGACCAGGCAGAGGAAGAAAGAAGGAGGCAAAGAGCGAAAAGAAGGGTATACCTATGAAGTTTCCTAAAACAGAATTAACTATTATGTGAACAGTAAGTGAAGGCCATAACAAGAGGGAGTGGGAGAAAGACACAGTAACCTGTATTAATGTAATTTTGGTGCATAAATTCACTTTTAATTCTTATTCACAATTTTAAAAATGACCAAAACATGTAAAAATAACTAGGTACCTATGTTAATAGGTGTACAATAAAGAGGGAGTGGGAGAAAGACACTTTGCACTAGTAAACAACAATGCCATCAATCTATGACAGCTTTATGACTATCTAGAATTGTGCAAGGGAAATGATGACTTTGGAATGGATGACAGTATGCAGTAGTATGCAAACTTGCAAATTTTATGGCTGGGACATTTCTAAGTCATGGATTTGTTATTTAGAGAGCGTTTACATTAGTTCATCAATCTCCCTTGTGAAACACTTCTTAAAGATGAGAATTGTTAACTACTCTCTAATACATATCCTATGTCCCTATGCATTCAGAGCCAAGCAAGCATAGCCCTTAGGCTGCAAAATAAGCAGGTCATGGCTACTAGAGAGATGACAAGGAGGCCTTTCCTCACTCTGCCTTCCAATACTCACAGTGCAACCCATGTCCACACAGACCCAGCAAAAGCAGCTGGTATCTATCCCCAGATGGATCCTCATAAGCTGATAGACTCAAAACAAGTGTCCTCTTTTTTGGACCATTGCCCCTTCTCCAGCTGATTACTAACAGCTCACAGCTGCCCCCTTCTCCAAAGAATTGCCCTCAGCTGACTGGAGTCACCCTGCCCAGAAAATTTTGCCTTTCAACCCCCTAGTAGTCTAGAGCTGATGACTAATAAGGGATACAAAAGGCCTGTCCCATAATCAAGGGAAAACAACTCTGTGGTACAGTTTACGGTCCATAGCCCTCTCTCGCAATATTGGCTAATACTAAACTTTACCTGAGGTCACATCCTTGCTTTGTTCTTTCCCCTTCCCTATCCTATCTCACTCCTTCCTTACAAAATTTCCCAAGGAGGGCTCTATCAGTAAATGACATGTACCCAAATCCAACTGTCATGCTCTCTTCAAAGGAATACGGAACCTGAGTGCCAAACATATTCTTCTCTGCCCTGTTATGTAGCAACAGTCCTGCCTTCTCACAACAATCAAAGTCAACCAGGGCCTCCAGACTCAGCCTAAAGTTGCAGGCACGGAAAGCACAAACTCCCTGTGATGGTTAATTTTATGTGTCAACTTGACTGGGCCATGGAGTGCCCAGATATTTGGTCAAATATTATTTTGGGTGTGTCTGTGCAGATGTATTTGCATGACAGTAACATTTGAATCAGCAGACCAAGTAAAGCAGATTGCCCTGTTGAACGTGGGTGGCCCTCATCCAATCAGCTGAAGGCCTGAATAGTAAAGAAAGGCTGACTCTGCTTCAAGTAAGGAGGAACTCCTCCCTCCTGCCTGACTACTTTGGCTAGGACATCAGTCTTTTCCTGCCTTTGGACTCAAACAGAAACACTGGCTCTTCTTGAGTCTTGAGCCTGCCAGCTTTTGGACTAGGACTTATACCATTGGCTCTCTTGGGTCTCCAGTTTACTGACTGCAGATCTTGGGACTTCTCAGGCTCCATAATCACATAAGCCAATTTCTTATATATATACATATCATATGGAGATATATACACATATCCCCTATTGATTCTATGTCTATGGAGAACTCTAACTAATATACTCCCTAAGCAGGCTACTAGGAGTTGAGCAGAGCCACTCTTTATCTCCCAGACCCAAGTATTCTGCTTGTTGGGGATACAGCACCATGTAATTTTTTTTCCTACCTTTTTTTTAATTTAAATTTTTTAAAAGCATGGAATATAACAAGTACAGAAAGGTGCATAAAACCAAGGCATTCTGTTCAATGATTTCTCACGGGTCAAAGACTCACAAAACACAAACCAGATGAAGAACACTATCATCGCCCTGCAGCCCCGCTTGTGGCCTACTAGTCATTCCATCTGCTCTATCCTGAGTTTTAAAGTAAGGTGTTGCCTTGATTTTCTTGATTGTTTTATCACCTAAACATGCATCTCTAAAAAATTACTTTGTTCATACAGTGAAATATACACCTATAATTAAAGGCATAAGGGAGAACCCATCCTAACTGCTGGTTTTTAGCACAATCTTTTATCTTTTCCTCTTTTGCTTACTCTTGTCTCTCCCTTCTATCATCATCACTCTGTGGAAGCATGGGTACAAGATATATATTCCCTATATTTCTCTTGCTTATATCATAAAAATATATCTACATTTACACCAGTAGTTTGTCTTTGCTGTATGCATTTAGATCATTTTGTACACACTTTTC